TAGTCCCGGACTCCAGGAACCATCGCACCACCGATTTCCACTCACGTCCGTTAAAAGAAATCATGTAAAAATAGCCTTCTACGATTGCATGCAGAAAACCAAATTAAAGGATATGATAATTTAACTGCATAAGAATGAAGTAAATCAATTATCTACATAAAATTGTGTATTGCTTTCCTAGGAAAATATTTTAGAGTCATTATTTTAAACTCTTAAATTGGAAATGTAGATCAACCTAGCTAATGGGCAAATTCCGCTTGAAATCGAGCTACTTCAAGTAAGGACTATTTTAGGAAGATTTACAAAAAGCACAGCGCAGTTTTTGTCGGCTAACACCTTGTGGTATACGTGCTGAAAAGAGCGGTCTCTTCTGCTTTACTACAGGTGGGTTTTACACTCATTCCGTCAAACCATAAAAGGTTTTAAAAACGGTATATCGTTACGAGAACTCTATTCCTTGAAGAGGGTTATAGGTCAATTGAAACGCATAATAATTTATTATATAAAATACAGGTTATTATCAAATAATAATAGATAACACTCTACAATTGCAACATTTTGATCGAATTTGACTAGTCAATTAAGAAGTGATCAATTGACCAACCTCAACATTAGTTTTGGGATGGGTTTCCCCAAAAAATCAATGTTGTACAAAAACTAAAACTGAGAGCACCGAAACAATCTTCTCGGTAATGTTGGACAACTAATCTATATAAAATGAAATAGTACCTAATTAAAAACTATCCTCCTAATATTTTGGTCAATAACACAACGCAAACTACCCTAAAATATAATAAAATTCCAATACGAAAATTGCTCTGCATTGTACAAAATAGGTTACCAAAAAATACCGTGTCTGCAAACAAAACTGATAGAACAGAAAAGAAATTGAGTTAATATACTTAAAACGTAAATCTAATTTAACGGGCCTAGCGGAACATGTTCCGGAAACCTTTCGTGAATTTAATTTTGATTAAGGTTTTTCGCTGAATTTAATTTTTGTTGCCTTCAATTTCTCTTTGTCGCATTAATTATTACTATTATTATTATTTCTTTACATATTTGATTAATTAAGATCGCAAACGAATAGCAAAAAAACATCAGTTTTTTTTAATATGCATGCCAATCCTTTAGTTTTCGCTAGCACGGTTTTCTCCGATTGTTAATGCCATGTTTACATTATTTGTATTAACGGAGGCGAGACCAAATCAAAAGGAAGCCGCTTTGGGATGGTGCCTGGAGTCGGCGACAAATTTTTGCGTACCGACGAAAGATTAAAAGTAGGTCACGACGCTTGACCAAGGGCATTAGGGATTAGACGGTTAGACGAAAAGATACGTAAAAGACGTGGGCAGAAAGAGTAAGCGGTACTTACTCTTTTTCTTTAAAAAATTAAAATTGTTATTTATTGTCCATATACCAAGCAACGACGTAGGTGCAGTTCAAATAAGAGAAAATATAGTTTTGTTTAATTTGCCACAGCGTCGGAGTGTATTTACTCATCCCCTCAGACTAATGATCAACGAACCTACTTACATTTACATTATTTTATTGTTTTGGTTAACTTTTCTATTTAATATAACGTTAAACATTTGTTCACTTAAGAACACCGTTTTGATGTCAATTTAAAACTGACAATTAAACTATGGAGTAAAAGAATAAAGGTTTTCTAAATAAAGATGGTCGCGCGGATCATTATAAAGTGGTTCATCATTAAAAACATCTCGGCAAAAGTTAACGTGTTAAGTGAACGTAACGTCAGAAACTAATAGAAAAACAACAAACAAAACACAATAACGTAACATAAATTACGTGGTAACTCGTTAATAACCAATGAATGTTAAAAGGGGTGATCGATGCATTCTTGGGCGGCATCAGTCGAAAGCACACATATATATATATATGGGTCGCGGGTGACGTAACGCCGACCCGATGGCTCCGCCGACTTCGGATGAATGGACGTGAGTTCGAAACGTGTACCCACATAATACGGTTCGGTCGTCACCGATGCCGCAGATTCCCTGCTGACCTTTGACGTTCTGCTGTTTTAAAAACGCCATATTCGGCAACCAAACAATTTACTGATCTCGCTCCCTAGAGTGGTGAATGAATCTATTATCGTATGTGTTTGTTTTTGATTCCATTAGGCATACTAGATGTTTGCCATATGTAGATAATATGAAAAGATACTTTATTTCAGAAACTGTAATAACTATTAAAAATACTAAAAGAAGAAAGTTGCTCGTACTTTGTACTTGTACTTATACTTTCAAAATATTTAAAAATTACGTTAGCAGGGAGATATAATGAACATTTTGTTTTAAAATAAATAAATAAATACAGTGTGATAAAAAACTAACATTTAGTGAAGAAAACTTTTCTTTTTAAACAGAAAGACTCCATTTATATCGTATTCCCTATTTCAGAATGTTGTATGAAAAAAGTATAGAAATGGAAACGGATTGGAATGGAAATAGGAACTTAACGATTTTTGTAATTTAAACATTTAATATTTTTGACCACTCGGTATTTAGTAATATCAACACAAACCACTGAAGTAAATCCCCGTCTATAAAGAAATCAACTTAAAAACATAAAAACATCCTGTATACGTAACAATAGAATATTGTAAAACTATAAGTTTTTTTTTAATATTTTTTACAACTTTTGAGGTAAGGTGTCATTCCATAAACAGGTCAATCGTCTTCTGTTTGAAGAAATAATGCGACAAACATCTAAAACCATCACCTATTGAGTTTCTGCATCGTCAACCCTAACATTGATGGTCGTCCCATATGGCGTCAATAACGAAAAATTCGTGCACGCGGTCTTCAATTAATTTCCAATTTTGAGGTTTGGGCGCCGCCATCAAACGCCCCGACCATATGGTCGAAACCGCTGTCATTGGACGTTGCAGTTTTCGGATAACGGTATCGACGTGGAACGCCACATAAGCCCTTTGACCTTTAAGATGCTTTATTGGCAGAGTTGGCAAGTAATGCACGCGCTGATAATAGTCAAAATGTTGCACGGATGATAAATTAACGAAAAAATTCAGGAAAAAAACTTCGGATTTCGATGCTCGTTTTGCATAATGCGTAAAATCCATTTACATTGTTTATCGAATACTGCGCGCATTTTATCGTCGACAAATGCAATACTTCGCGGCGTAGATATTAATCTGCTTTTAACACAACATGAGTTTATTTGAAACTTATGTTCACAAACAAATAACAATAACGCGACAACACCAAGATTTAGTAGACCAACCAAACTATACTTAATACGACATTTTGACAACTTTCAACTAACCTATAAAATAAAAATAGATAACTAAACTAAATAACTTTTTTGACGTTTGCCAATTCTGTCATGTCGGTCATGTCAGTGAATGTATTCGTGTTGTTTTGCGAAAATGTACCCAAAAACAAACGGTCGTAGAAAAAGTATAGTATGCATCACGTTCTCGTTTATTAAACACTCGCTCCGCTCGTCTAAAATAAACTCGTGACTCAAATGCCGTTTACCGCAATTGTTGCATAATATATTATTATCACTCTGCATTAGTAGATCCTGTCTGCCTTGCTATTTTTTCTATTTCATTTGTTATATTTAATTTTTTAGACAGATTTTATTGTATCACATTGCATTTAATCATTTCCTTATTTGATTTTATCTGTCATTAATACGATTAGTTGTTGGTTCTTTTCTATTTTTCAATAATTACATAAAACAAAAGAGTTAAAATTTCACCGACAGGAAACACACCTTTGGTGCTTCTATCAACAAATGTCGTAAAGTAGTGTACGCATTAATTTTTCCGCGTACAATTTTTTTGTGAACGCGAATCAATTAACCAAAAGTCGTTTTTATTTTCTTAACGTCACAAAAGACTCGATATAATCGATATATCCAAATATTTTGTATGTAATGGTTCTCAAGACCGCTGTTTTTCAACGAAGCAAAAATACAAAAAATATCCAGACGCAATATTTGCAGCTACTAAAACCCAGTAACTGTTGTGCATTTTTCTTTCATTTTATTTAATAAAGAAGTGGTTGCAAGAAAACGCACAATTTAAAAAAAAGTCGTAAATATCTCCGGTTATATAATGGAGTACCCTCCCCCCCAGCCACCGACAACGCATTTCTATGAATTTTGACAAAGTAGGATTCCAAGGAACCGGTTGTACGCTCGCGAATTATTTGCACAAATTTTGTGAATTACAAGGAACGCCGATATACCGATTGCTCAATTTATTTTGTGCACATATTTGTTGCCGTTTTCCGAGTACCAGCGCGGTTGTGGTTTTTTTCTCCCAAGACGACGTTCTACGAAATTCTCACCGATTATGCCACCTCTCTAACGTTATCACTTTTAAAAAACATTTATATCGCGCCTTATCAATTAACAACTGGCGTCGCACAAAATATAGGTCGAACTGATAACCGTTATCGGTCCGAGCCATCAAGGAGGCCGCAAGAGCAACCGCGTTTTTGAAAATTTCGGCATCACTTACTAGCCTTAACAAATAAAAATTATTAAGGCACACTAACACTAAAGCAGCCAACGACAACATGTAATTTTTAACAATTATGTGAAAGTTCAGAAATGTTCAGAATTTTACAATTTGATGCAAGGAGTGTGCATCTAATTTTTGGATGACCAGTAAGTCGCAATGAGGAAACAACATCTTCATGTGGAGTTCAAATATTATCCAATTCTATATCTAAATTTCAAGATGATTTAGTTAGTACGAGTATAACATATTTTAAATTTTCACGTTAACCAATTTTCAGTATCGGTATTGCCACCTGCCAAGTATCACGACATTAGAAACATTAACTTCCAATTTATGTAATTTTAACAAACATACATGTCAATATAAAAAGTAATTCGTGGCAGTTTTCGTTTATGCGAAACCTTTCAAACAATGGTTTTGATCCTGAACGCTATGAATTTTCTGAAAACTTGTTTAATTTTGTTATACGATGTTCCAGGATCGCGAGTGGCACGTTCCAGAAAAGCTCAGCCACGTGCCCAACGCTGCGCAAATGTCACGGGAATGGCGATAAAGCGACGCGAGCGGTTGCCAAGCGACGGCGTAAACATCGCCCATTCGGAGGCCTTCGCTACGTACTGTAAAGTCTGTTCATAGATATAAGAAAGTGACTAACTGATACGAAATAAGGAAAGACCCGGGCAAGCTGTAAGAATGAAATATGGCCGAACAGGTCCGTACTTTGCTTAGAATTTAATTATTTGGGGTTTTGTTAGGAAAGATACTAAACAATATTTATTTATTTATGTTTAAATCTAAAATAAAATTACAAATTATTCTAATTATTATTTGTTCTATATTAATTGCCATATGGATATACGATTATTCTGCTTTTTCTATATGTTTAACAGAATTTGCCCAACTTTGTGGAGGGATCTTAAAAACTACGGTTTCTATAAATTTGAGGACATTGGAGTTAACACGGGGAAAAACATTGTTACGACGAATGGCAGATTTCAGTTGGTGCCAAACATGTTCAATGGGATTAAATATACAGTGGTAAGCCTTAAAACTGTATGCCCTAGATTTTTTGCATAATTATCACAGAAGTATTCCTTTTGTAGGTTCAAGCTTTGTAGAACCTCAGTTAATTGCTTTTTGGTATAATCTTCGTGAAAATAAATGTCGTTATTATATATGTAGTTTTGGATTGTTGCTTTTGTATCATATGAGGAAGGGGTTTTAGTCAACTGTCTACTGTGATCAAGCATTGTCCATTACAATGACGCTATTAGGAGGAATGTTTGGAAATATTTTGTTTTTAAACCAACTTTCAAATAAATCAGCGGTGGTGTCTTCATGGTAATCCAGAGAAGAATCTTAATATTTTTGGCAGGCAGAGAAAGTCCATTTGGAATCCTCAACCATTTTCCGAGGTATCATAAGTGTCGAACCAGGTTTCATCCAAGTAAATAATTGGCCTTTGTTGTAAATCCTAATTTTTTCTAGATATTATAGGCGCCATTTCCGAATTCTAAAAGATTCCATTAAAACTTGCCTTTTGTCAATTTATTTAAGTCTAAAACCCATGTGTTGAATACACACTTCCATAAGGTAGTTCTGCCACATTTAACACCGGTTTCATCTTTTTCAAGCCTCCTAATTAAGATATCTAATATAGGCACGTTTTGTTCCTCGTATAACTGGTAAATTTTACGCTGTATTATATCTTGATCCCTTTCATCTACACTCGAGAAAATGTCAGCATCGCTTCTTTTTTTCCTCGCTGAAATGGAATTATTCACAATTTTCCATACAGTTGATGTTGGAATTTTCGTCAATGTCGCCGTTTCTTCTAAAGATGCTTGCTTGCTGGCACCACGTTCAATGAGAGTCAAATAAACATTGTTTATAACTTCCTTAGTCTCAACAGAATAGTGTTTTTTCTACATTTGGGCGGCAGCATCTCCTGAGATACACTAGACTCGCACATATTTTGCATAATTCGTACACGATTCCATACTGGTTGTATTATATACGAAATGAGAATGATTACTAGTAAACTTAAACTAAGTAGTATACCAAACCAAAGAATATTAAACACAGGTAGGTATAAACTTATTTTCTATTACGGACCACAATTGTACCTGAATTTAAATTCCGAAATTTTAGGTAATAATCTTTCCTTTCTTTTAGATTTGTGTAGATAGCAATTGACTTTGGCCTAAACGGTCTGCTACCACAAGGGTGTGAATGCTGCAATCTCTGCAAGTTTTCGCGGCGTTGTCAAATTGTACCTTTTGACTTGATTGGTTGTGGGGGGGGGGGGGGTGTAAATGTTGCTGCCACGCTTAAAACGCGAAACCGACCAGGAATGCATAATTAATAACGGGTGCGTGTGCGTGTGTGGGGATTAAGAAGCGATTTCAAAGGGTCGCCGACCTCAAATGAATTTTTCGCAAGAGGCGACCGACTACCATCGCGATCTATAATAAAAATACGAAACCTCGAAAAATCGACTCCGGGATCGAAGAAGGCGCTTGTAATAATTCCGAAAGATCGGCGGTATCCGTGTGTTCATTGCACCTTGTTTCACGGTCAAAAGAATGGCGACGTCGGCGAACCGCATCGGTCAGCATCTGGGAAATGGTGTGGCGTAACAACGCGCGAAGGTTGAAATAATCCGATTTCAAGTGCAACAAACTCGCCCGGTTTCTCATTTTTTGTAATTAATAAGTATCCGCGCTGTGTCAACGCGATCGAGTATGAAATTTATATTTATAAGTTAAATATCATTCTAACTCTTCTCTTCTACTCCACCGCCCTTTCTCTCGCTTTCGAAAACTTCTGGACGAATGGACAGCGGGCGACAGGAAACGGAAAAAAAAACGCAGCAGTGTTGTCAAATTTCAGTCAATTGACCAATCCCAACACTAGCCAAGACCCATTCAAGATCTGAATAGCCTGCGAACTATTAGACGCTCACGAATTTGACTAACATTACTTTTAAAAAATATCGAGTCTGCTTATTGGGTTGCGCTTTGGAAAACCGCAAATGTACGAACTGATATGTGTATTTGTCTGTTAGGTGTTTCAAAATTCGAAAACATGGTTCACCTAAGTGACTAGTCTACACAACAAATGCAACTGGTGACGACAAAATTTTAACATTTTTGTATAGTACGGTGTCAATTATTTTATCCCAAAACGTTATTTAGGATTTTGGCAAGTAATTATGACCGAATCAATAAATTACTTCAAATAAATGTCATACTCGAGATAATTAAACTATTTGCAACTTAAACTTAAAAAAAGCAGCAATATTTATGATCCAATCAACGGCATTTGATCTAAATTTCGTTTAGAACGCCATTCGTAGTCGTTTCTAAGACCTCGAGGATGCCTCAAAAACTTTAGAATGAGCATGACATATTCGTCAGATTATAAATGAGGAACACAAGGTGAATTCCACCTTTAGGTATCTTAAACCATTTTCAGTCAGTAACAAAATGATTTCTTTGCTTCCTTATAATATTTTTTGAAAGCACGCACTTTTATTAAAACACCCTGTATCCAACAAGATCCACATCATAACACAGTGTTTACGTGGAGGAGAAAGTATATATGTACGAAACGACGTAGCTTTCCGTCTCTGTGACGAATTAATTACCCGGCCCGCGATAAATTTAACGAGAAAAAGACGGCCGTTAATCCGTCGCTGGTGCAGGAGCGACCGACAACGAAATTGCCGCCGAAATGCGATCCGATCCGCCCCGCGCGGCGTTGGACCCCGTCCAAAGCAGTTCGCAATTTCATCAGAAGAAGAAATTTATACGGTAGACACGCCCGACCGAATCGGGTCGACCCATTACTGGATCCTACCGACTGCGCCAGTTAGGCATGGTTGCGACGCGACGCCGACGTTACAGAAAAATATTTTTATCAGTAGAATAGCTATGACAGTTCAAAAATAATTTTAGTCATTTTTACATTCAAATTTATAAAGTTATATAATGTTTAAATAAACTTTATATACATTCAACATTGTTTATTTACACTAAAAACTATGTTTCTATTTCGAAATTTTCAATGGATAAGAGTGAAAATATAAATAGGCGAGCAAGCTGATAATATGCACTAGCATTTTTGAAGTATTTGTTTACGAAAAGGTAAAAATTCCAGTAAATGAGGCAGATAAAATTATTGCGATTGTAATTTTTAAAAAAATAGTGCGTGATATGTGTAAATATTTTGAGGAGATACAAACAACATTTGTAATAACGGATATCTAGAAAGATTCAGAAAAATTAAATTTGAAAAAATCAAAATCAAATGTTTTTTGAAAAACTGAAATATCGTACGAAATGTTCGTCTATAACATTTACAAGAAAAACAACCTCAATTCGAAATAATTATAAAGTTTTCGATGTCACATTAAATAGTGAAAATAAGGTAAAAGCCTTGGACGTTTCTCTCATTTAAACCTAAAATTTAACTTACACAAAAGTTTAGAAGAAAACAATATACTGTTAAAGATTATAGTTTAAACAACATTAAATGAATCAAATAATTAATTTTATACACTTAAAAGTACCAAATATTAATCAGAAAATTTCAGTTAAACAAAATTTATTGACTGTAGATCTAAACAACTCATTTATGGTTGTGATAAACAATAATTTTAGCGAAATCCAAATGGTTATTTTTCTACCAACCTGTATTAGTAAGGCTAAAGCAATGACAAAAGCATTTTGCAATACATAGAAAACCATTTAACTAAACTAATAAAGGATTCCTTATGGGTAAAATTTACAGATATTTTTCCACATAAAAAATAATGTTTAATAGTGTCGCAAAATCGGTAAAATTTACCTTACACGAAATACGTCTAAAATTTTAAATTGAAAAAAGCGACAATATTAAAATATTTAAAATAACTTCAGTATAAATTGCGTAGTATAAATAAAAATTGAATTGAAACTAAACCAACTTGAATTCCATTTATTTTTTAACTAAACATTAGGTTGCGGACTAATGGATCATGGTCCGTTACCAGGTACAAACTGTACTGCAGGGTGTATTTATTGAAATTATTTTGCAGGCTTCAAATATGGACGTGTTTTTATTTATGCGAGATATACAGGTCTGACAGAAATTAATCAAAACCATTTAAAAGAACTTTGAAGAAGTAGCAACTACGTCCAGTCATATTAAGATCGGAAACTCAACATAATTAAACAAAAAATAGTGGAATTAAAATTGAATCATTTTAAACAATGTTGCGGAATTGGTGGGCGGTACGCGGCTTTGCTTCTGCGGCGGTCATCCGAACGAACGGATCGCACGAATACCGTTCGCGACACGCCCAATATCAAAAAAATTAAAACCGACCGAATTGACTTTTTCGATAACCACGGCGATTACGGCCCCGCGCGCGATTGCGATCTCGAAAGATCAGGGCAACTTTCGCCGCTCAGTCCGGTTCTGTTTGGTATTTTACAGTTCGTCCGTCGGCAGGGTTGTCGCATTTCAAAATGGCCCCCAAACCGAACGCATACCTTTCCAAAAAAGAAAAAGATTTTGGAGTTTTTCAAAGAAACCAACGAATTAATAATCACAAAAACAATTACGATATTTATTTCCATTTGAAATTTAAAGTTTTTGATTTTTTCGAAATAGCAAAAGATAGAAATGGCAACACCGGTCGCAGCAGAGCGGACCGGTCGACAAAAAAGGCACCGACCGGTTCCCAGACAACACTGTTGTTAAATCATAAAGGTCGGGGCCCAGCGATTTCGTGGGGATAATCTGTGTATTACGATTTGGGGGGACCCATCTGTGTAATTAATTACGGTGCGGGAGGAGTTGATTAATTAATTTCCAGGGATCGTGCGTTACATTACATACATTACGGGGTGTTCTAACAAAAAAAAAACACCCTCTAGGCGCTACTAGGGTTTGCACGTTCCGGGACTGAAGAGGTTGTCGGGACTATTCTAGTTCCCGGTACGGACCACGAAAAACCCGACCATAAGCTATATAACCATCTCGCACAAGCGGTAAGCTGGTCACAATATGACACCAATAATATTTTAACTCTCAAACACTGCTTAAATTCGCAAATTTTGTGCAGCAAATGAATAGAAAACTTTTTGAGTAATGGGTGATTTAGATGTACAGTATACACGTTACGAAAAGTTATGTCGTTGTATGGTGCGACGTTGACAGCTTGTTATTATTAATTCGAAATCTCAGAACTTTTAAGCTCCATGGATTCTTGGCTAAATCCGGGAACTAATACTAAATAAAAACTTTGTCACGTCTTTTTTGAGCACCCCGTATATACAGTAGTCGGTGACTCAGGGCAACCATATTAGTCGCGACGGTGCATAACGTACGTATACAGTACAGTACAACCTCGCGACCTGATAAATGAGTATGCTAATTTACGCAACGTAATTACTTATAATTATCCACAATAATACAACAGATATGTGCCTATAATCTTAGTTATTTTTTATGAATGTTATCTTGTTACCATTTAATATGTACGAATTACTTAACATACTATAGGCCGACATTTAGAACGAAACAGATTATACGGACCGTTAACAATGTGCGGGGTCAGATTTTACCGAACGATTCCATGCGTGATATTTAAACGACGATGTGTAAATTAATTAAATTAAAAAAATTAAATTAAATATTTGACAAAATTTTGGTGTTTTCTGGGAGGCCGCTGAAATTAATAACTTTCATATGTCTAGGACCTAGTTAGCTATTCACGACACTACAGAACACCGTTAAACAAAAGTAAATTGTATTTTGTCTGAACTTTAAAATTTCTAATTAGTATTAGCTCCGGCATACACAAGAAATTCTCAAGAAAAAAACTTAACCTTTATTGTGTTTTTATTATGTTTCTACCTTATGCCTGTGTATTAATAAAGCTAGCGCGTTTCGGTTTTCGCAACCCAAGACTGCGTCTTTATGAAATGAAAAGTGAATTTTTGACTCTAGGGTGCTTTTGAAAATGTTACAATTTAGATCGTTTCTTGTTCGGTGTGAGAAGAAAACTGGGCGCTGGAGCTTACGTAAAAAACTCTTTCTAGACTAGTAGTTTTCATATTTTCGACAAATTAACGCATAACCGAAATGCGACACTTTCAAATCACCCTGCATTTTAATAGTATATTATGCAACAAGTGCGGTAAACGGCATTTGACTCACGAGTTTATTTGACAAGAGCGGAGCGAGTTTTTAATAAACGAGTGAGTTAAAAAGTTTACCTAACGTGTTGCATACAATACTTTTTCTACGACCGCTAGTTTTTGGGTACATTTTCCCAAACACAACACGACAAACGTCAAAATTCAAAGCGTGGGAAATATCTCCGAAAACATCCGATTGCTCTCAAATCCGTGCGGTAAAATCCCGGAAATGTCCGAATTGGCTCGGATTCATGGGAAACGAAACTGACGTGGTAAAGTGACGTACGCTAGATCGGTGGGTAATTAGGTATTTTACAGACGGGAGTAGAAAAAATTTCTAACTCCCTTTTACAAAACGCTCCGTTTAACTAAAAAAACTCAAAATGCACCAATCTTTTAAAAAAAATCCTAATATACCGAACTAATGAGAGTTTCGCTTCCCTTTACCCCACGACAAGACGTTGGCGGCAAAAAACTGAAACGTCAACTGTCAGATCCGGTTCGTTACCGCCCGAAATACCAATTGCGGAGACGCCGCCGAACCGCGGCAGCGTCCAAAAAAAAAGTCCGACATTCCTGCGAACCCCTCGAGCGGGCAGGCATCAGCGGGCACAGTATACAAATCGAACGCCCAATAACACAGGTCCTACAGTGATTTTGATGTTTGAAATCTGTTTACTTAAAAAAAAAAACGCCATATTTTTCTGTATCAGGTCGCTCTATATCTTAAAAATGTTATTTAATTAATATACATACCCATTGATGAATTGATTTTTATAAAATTAAATGTTATTTGGCAACATTGGATAATTTTAGATTTCTCTGCAAAGCAACAGAGTTGGCGCAGAAGCGTCAATACAGTAACTCGCTTATGCGCAGTTTGGTTGTGTTGGGCGCGAGAGACATTGTGTGGACAATCCAAATAACTTTTGTTATATCTGTGGTACATATGTCGTAGTAAAGCAAAGGCAACCTATAACTTATTTTGTAAAAAATGTATACCACGCTTACAAGTCCTGGGTTTCTCATACTGTTTGTTCCGTTTGCGTCGAAGGATTATGCAACTGGCAAAAAGGTAGGAAGAAATGTTTTAGCTTTGGTGTTCCTGTGGTGTGGCGAGAGCCTAGGAATCACCGTGATGATTGTTATTTTTGTTAGTGTAATGTAATGTAAAAAAAGAAACAAATTGTGTATCCCAATCTTGACTTTGCTATTCGAGCAGTTTCTCATGGACCAGCTGTAGCAGTACCGAAAACGTCATATCGTCAGAATCGGAGGAATCTTAATTTCGACCCATATGACTCAGATTTCACAGCAGATTTCGGAGAGCCCGAAGTGTGCCAGAGCGACTTGCACCTTCCAAAGGACGCATCCGAATTGCTTGCGTCCAGACTTTGAGACAAGCATCTACTGTTCCATCAATATTTTACTCTCAGGAAGGACCGCTAGTGTATTGCAACAATTTTCCTGACTTAGTTTCAAAATTAGGAAATGTGCGGTACATAAAAGAAGAATGTCGAGAAAAACGCCTGGGTTTCGTTTAAAAAAAATAATTGACAAGTTTCTTAGGACGAAAACTACGAAAGTATTGTTCAAAATATGTCACACTTCCATCGTCTAGGTTGCAATATGAATTTGAGAGTGCATTTCCGGTTTTTACACTTAAACTATTTTCCTGAAAATCTTGGAGCAGTTAGCCAGGACATTAAAGAAATGTAACGGCGATACCAAGCCAGATGGAGCATAACGATTAAGGCGGATGCTGCTGGATGTTAAAACGGGATATCCCCTTAAAAACACACAGCCGAATGTCCAGACAACGCGGTTTTCTGGATAAAGTTTTTTTCGCTTTTTTAAACTAGGATTTCGCTTTTTTACTGAATAAAAAAATACATTATTTTAGAAATATCCTTATTCTTTCTTTAATATTTGCCAAAAAAAACCTTGCGTGATACAAATAAACGAATAGAAATTTTGAAATCAGCCTACCAAAATTAAATAAAAACAGTTTCCAGTTTCTGTCAAAAAAATTAATTTTGTAGACCTGTGTAATCGAACTAGAGGCGCTTCAATTTTACCGGCTGACCCGCCGCGCCATCATCCGCGAAAACCGTATACTGATTTATGCCGCAGCCCAGAGTGCACCCGTACCTGATTAAATGCACCGGAGGCGGCGCTACAATGTTGCGGCCCGTGTGACGTATCCGCCAACGAAATATGCAACGTTCCTACATATATATGTGCATAAGAGACATCGTATGAGTGTGCAGACGTACGAAACGTGATAGTAAAATAATCGCATAGGCGGCGAGCGCGCGCGCATCCGCGCGGGAATTCAGCCGCCGCCGCGATGATGCCGCCTTGTCTGAAAATTTACTGGCGAGGTTTGCCTCGTAATTTGGGCCAGGCACATGATTTTTGTCGTCTTTGACTAAAACCTCGTATCCATTGGCCAGAAAATTTGGCCAACTTCACAAGTTACTTGCAATGCATCAGCAGCCCTAGAGAAATTTTTTTTTGGAACTAGGAACTTTAATTTTAATTTTCTCAATTAGAATTAAATTTATTTTGCATTTTTGCAAGAAAGGCCGTGTTTAGAATTTGGAAGAACCTCTTTTGTTAATTGAAAATATTGAACTGTACCCAAAAGTATGAAATGTACATTGAAAAGATTTTAAAAAAAGATAGAAAAAACAAGGGCGCATTCTAAAAATAGTGGACAAGGCGAAAAATGAATTTCAAATTTTTTGGTTCCTTAAAATTCATATTATAAAGAAAACTTAATGTAATATAACATTTGAAAGATGAAATCCTTTAATTTTATAATTTTTTTATTAAGTGAAATTAAAAAATAATAATTGCTGTGGGCATTCTAAAAATTCAGAAAACAGCTTGTCTTGTATACGTAAAGCAGATAACTCAATTTTCTTTATTTTTGTTTAAATACATGTGGCAGTCATAGCAGCCACTTGCTGAGACGAATTTTTTGTAAGTCTGCGTACACGTTTCTGAGCAAAGGCGAACATGCTAGTAATATGCGGCAATGTTTTGAATTTAGAATACAGTATAGACACGCCGGCAAGCATATTATAAAAAATCTAACGCAAGTGCTCAAATGTTAAACAGAAAACTTTCATTTCAGGTTTTCGGACGCTCCTGACCAGGATGGGATGATGAGGCAACGTCGCGGCGCCTGTTATTGGCGTGACTACGTCCATAATAAAAAGCACAGTCATCGAAAAATGGGAAAATTTCGCCGACAAAACGATTGTAGGAATACAAGAGATGCATAGATAAATGATGATTTCCAAGAAACGAGAAAACAAATAGGGTGCTGCGTTTCAGAATTAACAAAAAAAATCGAAAATATCATGGAAAGGAATACCAAATAGGTTGCTTAGAACAAGTTGCAAAAAAATGACGATTATGAATGTATATTGGATAGGGTTAATCGCAACAAAGTTGCTGAGGTCAGATTACTGGCACATATCGCAACCAATGACGAGGTTGGAGCCTGTTTAAAGATTATAACCGATTTAAATATCAGTTTCTCGTATCCATTAAAGTAGAAATGCTATAATTTCGGCTTTTTCGGAAGTGTCACAGAAACTTTTGTATTTTCAATTTGGTCAACTCGGCTTAGAACCCTAGAGATGTCATCGAAAAAAAAAAAGAGAGTATTATTCAAAACGATAAGGTGCAAAAAAATCGTAATCAGATTTTCAAGTTTGCTAATAGAATTTAATCGACGATCCTCTTATTATGCCCACAAAATACATGTGGATTATTCCGAAAAATCCGCTTAAATTTGTAACATGTAAACGCATTACATACTGGGCGATTCAGAAAACATTCCCCTAATTTATAAGGTAAATAAAATATTAACACATGACGTTACCTTAGTTAATAAGTATGAGTGGGAAAATGACACACGGCTCTGGAACGAACTTTTTAAGAAATTTTTTAGAAAAAGTTTTTTGGACCCCTTTTACATGTACCCCATCACATGCATGCATATTCGGACACACGTAACACGAAAAAGCACCATATTTTACGCAAAGTTCAAAATACGTTAAAAAAGAGCATTCTAATGGAAAGAAATCCAATTGGAGAGGGTAAATAAAAACTCTAGCAATTACAAAAATATATTTTTTTATCTTTATTTAAACTTATTATCATAATAGACGTAATAGGTTGCGTCTAAAAAGTAGAATCTTATAGTCCTATAAAATTAAAAAAATGATCAAAATACCGTAAATATTTTTTTCTACTCCCGTCTGTAAAATACTTGAATATAAACCGATCTAGCGTGCGGGAAGTGGCACTTTACCACATTCCCGCGGATCCAAACCCCTTCGGACATTTCCGGGATTATACCGCACGGGTTCGGGAGCAATCGGATGTTTTCGGCGATATTTCCCACGCTTTGAATTTTGACGTTTGTCATGTTGTTGACATGTCAGTGAATGTATTGGTGCTGTTTTGCGAAAATGTACCTAAAAACTAACGGTCATAGAAAAAGTATAGTATGCAACACGTTTGGTCAACTTTTGATTCACGAGTTCATTTGACATGAGCGGAGCGAGTGTTTAAAAAACGAGTGACTTAAAAAGTTTAACGAACGTGTTGCATACTATACTTTTTCTACGACCGTTAGTTTTTGGCTACATTTTCGCAAAACAACACCAATACATTCACTGACATGTCAACAACATGACAAACGTTAAAAATTCAAAGCGTGGGAAATATCTCCGAAAAATCCCGGAAATGTCCGAAGTGGCTCGAATTCGTGGAAAACGAAACTGAAGTGGTAAAGTGACGCTTCCCGCACGCTAGATCGTTTACCGCACTTGCACATACTATTTGATAACTTCAATTTCCACAATTTATTTCAGTAGAGTGAAATTTTCTTTTTACTGTTGGAATTCTACCATCAACCAACAACTTCTTTTTAGATGTATTTATATATTAGAAGTTTAATGGAACAAAAAATATATATCGTATCGTCTAAAATGGCGTCGGATAATATTTCGGAATTGAGGAGTAACATTGTTACTTACATACACCACAATTCTAAGAGAACGGATAAAATTGCGGTGTATGATTGACTTTAGACGTCTCGCGCGCTTTTCGTGAAAATGGTCAGCCGTTAGTTGCTTCCCGCCGCGCCCGTCGATCGGCGCCAAAATCGCGTCAGCGGCGTAGAATTCCAGGTAAAAACGGTTCGACGATTGCATCGGAACCAGGTATAAGGTTGAATCGATTACCGATGTAATTTGTTTACTAACGAGGCGGTTGCGTCAACGGCGATTGCGCGGAAAACGAATGTCCAAATAAAAGTGCGAAGATTAATTGCGGAAAATCCGTCGACAAGCGTTTTCAATGGTAATCGGCGATTGTTTTTTTTTTTTTTTCATTCGCGTTAATCCGAAACCAACGGCGCCACTACGGAAACCACCATTAGATATTTTTTTTATAAAAATAACATTGACTTTTTGCACCTGTTCTGAAATTTCGTCACGTTATTCGCTATTAACGGGTTGTGATGTAATTGTTTGTGACGTTATTTCAAGCCCGACATTTTAGTTTTTCCACGCTCCATTACACAGTTTTGATGAGATTAAAAGGTTGGGCTAACATCGTTTTAATTTATTTCCCTAAAAAAGTGTTTGTTGCAATGGAAAATTTAATATAGTATTTCAACACTTGATAAATTTCCTAAAAAAACAATATACCTAACCTAACATGTTTATAAATTATATCTCACCAAGTCTGATTTAAAAAAGGATTTAACCCTAGATTCTACATTCGTTTTCGAAAATTTTGCGTTTCGAAAAATTGAAAACTAGTAAAATAAACACCTTTAAAGGTGACATATGCAGCAACGAAACAAATAATTTTAACATTTATAACCCAAAACCAAAATTAATGTGTTAGAACCGGCAACACCGCCTACGCCTTAAACTTCATTAATGGGAACCTTATTCCGCCGTATAAAAGTAGCGTTGAACTTCATCTAAAGTTGCATAGTATTGTATTATATTTCAGCATAGCGTATACTGTGTAAAAAATATGAAGTATTGAATTTTTATATCTTGGAAAGCACTCATAAAATCTGACCACTGAATTATTTTCTTTGTATTGCTCAAATTCGCATTTTTGTTCTGTATTCATGTCACATCTGCTGTTAGGGAGATATTCTTTTGGATAATGAACCCAAAATGGCGAGATGAACAAAACAGGCCATGTACATTGTAGCGACACATGTAAAGTTTTTTATACGGAAAAAAGTTCAAGTCCGAAAAAAAAACTTTAAAATATAAATACATATTTATGTAATGTTATTTCCAACCAGTTTATTGCTTATTCTTTTCGAGTTTAATTCTCAAAATATTTTATTTCATAGATAATGGATAAGTAAAACATTTCTAAACCAAGCGTTTTTGCAGCCCTCATAAAAAAAAAATATCGCGTACTACCTGAGAGTGAACAAGCATCGCAAACATAAAACCGAGTATAAAAACTTCGTGCCCCAATATACAGGTCGATTCATAATCACACGACCTCAACATGGGTTAAATACCGAGTTCCAAGGTGTAAATATTAGATTAAATAACGCTTGAAAAAATCATTTAACTTAACTGCATAGTTGACAGAGAACAAAAACAAAACAAATATAAACTCAACATTTCCGAGACATTTTATTGATTTTAAACTGCAATTAATTGTTATCATTATGAGTGCGATAATAATTAATAATTACTATTGGCGTTATTTGGAAACACAATTTCTAAAAACCGTGGGCGTTTTCGCGAAACAATTGCCCTGTGTGTATCGCGTCGTCTTTAACGACCGCCGTTATAGTTTGTTGGAAATACTTGACACCTATACCGCCCCCGCCAAACCCATTTTTTCGCGATTTCTATTTTGCCCCGAGCTTTACCGGGAAACCGGTCAATTGGAAAAATATGTAATAATAACTATTGTAAACCGAACGCCTTAACTTGCCGCAAGGTCGGCGCCAATATAGACAGACGGAAATAAAACCGTATGCCATAGTCCGGTCTTAAACGTAAAACAGTTTCACTCGCGTGCATGCAGGGTTCATTATTCTTGAATTTTAGGGAATAGAAATGTTGTGGGCAAATATTCGGAAGTGGGAGTGTTTCCCTCAAATATCAAAATACTCTTGAAAAATTTCTATTAAAAAAAAACAGGAAAATTTTTACTCCCCAGGGAGAAAAATATTTTATTAGCCATGAATGGATAAAAATGAGAAATAAAGGCAAGACTTTAACCCGCAAATTATTTTTTTGTCTTTGTGACTACTCAAGATCTTTTCACTACCAAATATCTTGCCAAAAACACCGGAGGACCTTAGCCAACCCGTACTGGCATGATGCCGATGATTTTGAGGATGCTCTAGGGGAGCTGTGCTTGTTTCAGAAAATTTATTCAGCCGCAACACTTCCCAACATATTTGAGGCAGTCGATACTATCAAAATTTATATTATGGACGCTTCATTGTTTGAAGTGGTGTTGAGAAATTTGGCAACGTAGAATTGGCACTGCTTGTATCGCTTCTATTCCATTTGGTTTCAAAGGGTGTCAGAGGCATACAGAGATACCGAAATTTTTGCCTAAGATTTCGGAAGAATTCAGTAGACTTCGGTCAATATTTCGTAAAGGTTTCTGGAAAAAGTGACACTAAAAAAAGGAAGAAACAACGACGATACCCAAGGAATTCTGATTTTTTTTCCAGAGAATTCGGAAGCATGTTCAATTTCGAAATTATTTACAGACATTACCAACGGATTTCATGGAACTTTGGACGAAATTCGATTACGAGGTTCCGGAAGGAATTCGGTTTCCGGCGATTATGGAAAAATTTTGAAAAAAAAAAAGGTCGCGGCGAACGTAATAACCGACGGGAGATAAAATTATCGCGCCAATAAAAACTCGTGTGAAAAGTTCCACGCACTTGACACACATTCCGGTTACGCAACTGCCGAACAAATGCTATCGCGACGACTGATGGACGCCGATAAGATTAACGCCTCGTATATACGGCAATCTAATTAATATATTCCCCTATGGGGAACCTCGCGAATCAATTTTTTTTTTATAGAAGACGACCCAAAAAGAAACCGCCGCCCTTGCCCGACCGTACAATTTATAGAACAAAAGTGACGCGGCCAGAGTTCAGTCACCCCCTTATATTCACGGCCGAATCGATATAACCCCATAAAATAAATTTCGATAGTCCTCGCGAAACGTCGACATCGAAAAGTGCGTGGTAAATACACCGAAATATGACCCTTAATACTCGCATTACACAGGCACGATGTATAATACATTTCCGGTATCCAACTAAGTTGCTCAATTACAATCAACGGAAAATGTCACAAACTAAGGAAAAAAGAATGAAAAAAAAAAGTACAAAATATTAAAACCATGCAATATGTGCATTAAATGTTATCGGATTGTATAAGAAATGGGGACGTAGAATATGCTGTTGACGTTTGGGCTCTGTTATTTCTGAGAAGCTAATTATTACCATACCAAACTATACTTAATACGACATTTTGACAACTTTCAACTAACCTATAAAATAAAAATAGATAACTAAACTAAATAACTTTTTTGACGTTTGCCAATTCTGTCATGTCGGTCATGTCAGTGAATGTATTCGTGTTGTTTTACGAAAATGTACCAAAAAACTAACGGTCGTAGAAAAAGTACAGTATGCAACACGTTCGGTAAACTTTTTAACTCGCTCCGTTCGTCTCAAATATACTGGTCAGTCAAATGCCGTTTACCGCACTTGTTGCATAACATACTATTTTCCTACGATTGTGATGGTGGCGTGCGTTTTGACGATGTGAAAAGAATCGGAATGAAACCCCAAAATTTCCGTTTTTAAACTTTTTTCTATCTCTTATAATAATAAACTTTCTAATTTTTTGACCTTTCGACGCTATTAACAGTTAGTCCTAAAATTATTATTATTGACACATTGTATTATTTACATTGGGCGTGTCTTCCAATCGTCTATTGTTTACCAAAGCTATCAGAGAAATGAAGAGTTGTATAAATTTTGTTTTCTTAAGCCCCCAAAAGTCGACAATTTTCACGGTTATTATCTGATTACCTTACGTTGCGTTATCTGCTTAACCAAATAATTTATTTCCACGCACAAACACCGTCAACCTTCGACGACTTTTAAAAACGTAATAGTTTAAATAAATATACGACAATGAACGCGATCGATCCGAATTCGAGCGAAATATCGAATTCATTTTGAAGCAGTTTGTAAATGCCGGAAAAATCTACTTTCTCCGGCTCGGCCGCCTTGTACCACTTATTATCGAAGTGTTTTAAATACCCGAACGGCACGCCCATGCGCCTATTTCTCTACGCTTTCAAAACCGCGAAAATGACAACGGACGTTATGTAACTGGCGCGGACGGGCGCCGCTGGTTAACCGAAGCTAGAAAACCGCAACCCTGCATAAGGGCCTGAAAAATTTGGAGGGTTGTGGTAATTTGAATTACATTGAAGAACAGAACCTAAAGCATTGTATATCACACTCCCACAGTTTCCAGTAACTCATTTCAATTTTAATATTTTTCTAATCGTTTTCAAATCACCGAGAACGAAACAAAAATAAAATTTGTATATTTTCACATATCTACTTACCTGCTAATTCGAGAAAAAAAATCCCATAAATACATTTCAATTTCTAGGCACCGCGAAATTATTTCCGATTCCTTTAACTTGTAATTTTCATAGCTCGGCTGATACAAGAAGATTTTCAACTTGCGAATGAATTACTTCTACCTTTAGCGGAAGGTAAAGACGTTTAGATTTGAAATCCGACACACTTTATTTTTGTACATTTTCGGATTCTGCAATTGTTCTAGCCCTGATAGGGCCATTGTTCCATATTTTTTTATTTTATATGTTTAATTGGTTTTGAAAATTGCAATTAAACGGCTTAAATATTTTTATAAGACCTCCTGGTGACAAATAAGCTTTAAAATCATCAATAAAACGTGTTTACGCCATCGTTGATTATGATTGCAATTGTCTAAACAAAATTTTCCCAAAATGCAAGATATGCGTTTAACATTTGAAACGTAGTAACTACTAATTTTTGTATTTTCAAAAATAAAAAAAAAAGGTTTTTCGAAACCGGAAAATGACATAACGTAAAAGAAAAAAACAGAATCATCGCTTAGTTCTTTATGTATTGTACTTAACACTAATATACCTTTGGGGATTTTTATCGAAAATAACAAAAAAAAACCTTGATCCTTATCGTCCAAACAACTAAGGAAAAGCAACTTGGTGCCTACTGCAAGATCCGAAAAGAAAATGCATTGGTTGCCGCCACTTTTAATTATTTCAGTCAGTTTGGGTTTTTTTTTGTCTTGCGACGAACGCACCTGAATCGCGAAACCAACGAAGAAAAATAAAAACACTCACCGGAATCGGAAGGCGTGTCGAGACCGCAATTCATGTGGACCATCATCGACGCGTTCTTGTCCTTGTAGTAGCTGTGGTCGTTCTCGGTAGCGATCTGCAACCTCTTCTGGTACGTCTTCCGCTGCGCTTCCTCGTCTTCGACATCCGCCACGTCCCAAGGCTCTTCCTGCACCCCGACCGGTTCCTGTTTAATCTCCAACGGTTCTTCCTTGATGTCCAACGCGGCATTTTTGCCGTCGACGTCCGTGTCTTCGAAATAATCGCACAGGTCGCTATCTTCGTCGATGTCGTACTCAGATATGGCCTGATTCAGGATCTGCAGCAGTTTGGAGGGTTTGCCTTTGCCTTCTTCGTCGTCGGATTCCGGCGGCGTTTGCAGGGCGTGCTGTAGGGCGCTGTTGGAAGAAGCAGTCGTCGTCGATGCGGCTGTCGCCCTCACGCTCGGTTTCAAAAGGCTCTGCTGCTGCTGCTGTTGCTGTTGCGCCTTCATTTTCGTGGCGTTCATTGTGCGGGTGTTGATCACCGGCGGTTTCGGCACGATAAAGTTCAAGGATTGCATTCGGAAGTCGTCCGGCGGATGTTCGTCGCTAGCGCAATGCCCCGCCCACATGCAGTCGTGATGAAGCATGTATTCTTCGACGACGCCCATGTTGTCGTCGCGGGCGTCGTCCAATTCTTGAAAGATGCCGTCGATGTTCGTCAGTTCGGGAAAATCGAGCTCGAACTTTTTCCAAATGTCGTCGGGCAACAAAACCGAATTGGGATGTACGATGAAATCGTTGTCAACGTCTCCCGCGCTGGACATCATAGGAAACGGATCGATGGCGTCTAAATTGTATGGTTCCGATTTAACGATCATCCTGTTTGCTTATATATATATAGACCTCTCCGATTTTCTTATTATATTGTTTCTTCTTACGCACCTACAGTTTACTCTATTTCTAATATCACAAGTTTGCCCTGAATAGGAGGCTCCGTTCACGGCTGCGCGAGCGATTTGGCAGCTGCTGAAACGAAGGAGAAAAACAAAACGGGAATTAATATGGACGAGTTCTTAAAAGGCGTGACGACATCGAACTCCGCACGGGTGGTAATGGAAAATGTTTTTTTGTCTTACACGTTAATAGAGCCAGTTTATAAAACTTCTTACTTTTTCTACCTGTTTGATGGTGATAATCTTGTGTATGATAATTTTACGCAGATCTTGCCTTATGCAATTTATGGGTCAAAAGCGTCAAACAAATATGGCCGAAAAATAAAGTTTTACATTTTATCTTAAAAACGAAAGGAGATAGAACCATAAAACTTTATGGAAATAATACTATCGTAAAACACAGCAATTTTTTTCACTTGACCATGAAAAAAATAAATTTTGATGACCAGAAAATTTTATGTCTCCTCATAAAAAACTTATAGTTTCCAAATAAAAAATAAACACGTAATACGCAAAAGAAATTCCAATAAACATACATATGATAACTATTTCAATCAAAAATAACCTTAATTTGGTTGCAAAAACTTTTCAGGAAATGAAAAATGTTGGTTACATATAATTAGTTGTGTATTTTAAGTCTTTTTGAAATAGTACTCTCGAAAAAATATGTAGCGCTCTTTTCTGACAAATAGATTTTTTCAAAACGGTAGAAACAGTTTAACTACTTTAAAATTCTATTAATTGAGAAGATCTCATTTTCAAATTTGTATAAATGAGCAAAAAACCTAGCCGTCTCTTTCCATATGCCTCACTTTTCTATCAAGCCGTTCCGGTTTAGATGGGTTCACAGGGTGATGCAGATGTTCCCATTGATGGGTGATTCAGGAAAAAATGATCGGCAAAAAATCATAAATAGAAATTTAACACGAAATATCTATACGTTCCAGTCGCCCCGTGGCATCTATTGACAAATGATTAAGGAAAACTCGATTACATTACAGATTTTGTTAATTATTTTTTTTAACTTTAAAATATTTAAAGAGTTGGGTAACAATGTCTTTACAATACATTCAAGAATCTTTCAAAGAAACTTCCACAGGCTACAGTAATACTTTTTACAAAACTTCTGGTTCCTCCTGCGTCAGTTTTTGCTGAGTCGAAATTGCTGATGTTTCGCCAACCATCCTGTTGGCTTCTTCAGAGCTTGACAGGAAGGTTGGCGAAACACCAGCAATTTCGGCTCAGCAAAAACCGACGCAGAAGGAATCCAAAGTTTTGTAAAAAGCATTCAAGAATCAATTTAAGCCTTCGAATTAGTCGACGCAGTCGGTAGGATATTCCTGATAAACAGTAATGTCATTATTATTATCATTACTGGATAATGGAAAAATAACGAATATTGATACGAGGTGAAATGGACTACAGCCACACAGCTGTCAGAACCATGATCCTAAATTTGGTAATACATACCACAAAACACATGAAATACAAACTACAATGAGCACTGCGGGCCTGTGAATTGATGCGGGCAGATCCGTGAACAAATCAAATAAATAACACAAGGGGATGCGACAACTTTATAATAAAAATATGGCTAGTGCATCTTGCGCGATTTAGAAGAAATAAGAAAAAAGACATTTAAAGAATTGTTTTTTATGTAAATCCGCATAAATAAAAATTCTAGCTAAAATTAATTACCCAATTACATATTTCCAATTACGTTAGTTTATCTCCAACTGGAAAGTCTGGCACCAAACATCAAGAGATAAAAAAGAAAATGCACACAAGCAATTTAATACGAAAAACAGTGGTTACAGTGCTCCCGGTTCCCGAAAATTGTATATGTAGTATCAAATAAAACAACTTTCAGTTTTTTTTTGTCAAAAATGGTGCCTCTCGAGTCATTGAAATTTGTAATTATTACCTGGTTCTCAATCTAATTATTAATTATAGAATTAACTATTGGGGATTAAGTAACACTTTGTATATACGCAAGTCGGAAAAGACAGCTATTGAAAATTATAGAAAAGCCCCAATTCCTTAAAAGGTATCGATTAATTCTCGCACATTAACAAGCATCTAGTACCTACTCTTATATACGTGCTATGACTCATGCGGTTGCTTAAGTCGCAAATTTTTATATACCGAGCGTTCGTTCGCCGCGTCCACCGACCAACGGTGATTTGGCACCGCAATGGGGGGTCATGGGAATTTTTTTTGCCCGCGCCAAATCGAGACATCGCCATCGGGGCACGCGTTCTCGTATGCAAATATACAATGTCACTTTTCGATGGTTTTCATCAATTTAAGTAATTATTGCTACAATTTTCGAATTCATCGAGACCGCTTTATTTCCAATGCAGGACTTACGGTTTATGGCAGATGATAAGGCAAAAAAAATATTGAAGATAACGAATAAAACAGTAAAAACATGCAAATCGTCGGGTGTCGACCACATAAAGTCGCATATTTCTTTTTTGTTTCTTTTGTCTTATTTTTTGTAATTTATATATTATTATATAAGAGACCATCTTGCTTTTACTTGAATTATTTTAATTGAAATTATTATAGCGTCCATCACTATCGGTTATTCAATTTTTTTAATGGACTAACACTCGATCATTTGCTTTCTAACCAACACATTTACGAGGCGCCGGTATGCACTTCCTTATAATATACAAGTAAATATTTGCGGCTGTAATTACTGCGTTATTCAATTGATTAACCGGAATCGTTCTGATTCACCACGGATAAATAGTAAACAGTTAAATATTGATGCGAATAAATAGAGGGATAATAAGTGTGTGATTAAGCTTCCAAACCATCTTTTAGTTTTGCCTGCAAAGTCAAGGTCAGTCACACAGCACGGTCCCTTGTATGTAGATACGGTCCGACAATTTTTCGAACATCGTTAATGTAAATGCACTTGTTAAGGGCAGACGAGCAATAATTACACGGTTCTCTAAATCCATCGAGCTTATACCAATTAAAATTAAGCAGTTATGTTTTTTTTTCTTTTCCCCACAAATTATTCTGCCATACGTCCATATTAATTGATAGTCGCCACGATTTCCGTATAGTTGTCCCACAATTATTTGAACGACACCTCGAGAGCTGCTTGGCAGAGCAAAATATTTTTAGACGCAGTATCGTTTTCCTTTAAAAATATTTTTTCTATTCTCGACGGTCTCCTCTCAGAGACGAATACAAACTAATATACGACTATGTTTAAATCAATACGAAAATAAACATTTAAATATAGCCAGTCATCTAGCAGCGGGCGTGTAAGGAATATGCACTTAACAAGGCATAAATATGTTTAACTAGATCGCACTCGCACTTGATCAACACAAAATTTTCCCATATTTAAAGGTTATTATTAATATTCTATTTAAGAAACATAATCTTGATGCTGCAAGATATAAGCAATGATTGCATTTAATTAAAAATCAAAGTACCAAAAAACATCCCTTAATTGGAAGGAAACCTTTTAAGATTTTTATTTTTATAAAAATACCAGCAACAATAATTTAAATTAAGCCTGGTCGATTTCGTCTTCACTAATAAACCCTGAATAACCTAATCACGATATAGCAAGTAATTATCACTTAAGAATAGTTACGCAATATTGAATAAATTGAAATTAACATGACTTGAAAACGCTGTGTGTGTAAATTAACGACGACGTCCTGTCCTGCAAACCACTGTGTATTGTCAAACCGACCGCACGCACAGAAAAAAAAAGCGGTATCGATCGCGAACTTGTTGCACAACATTGAGATATTTTCACTTGCCGCCAACCATTCGAAAGCTTCCGGTAAAACACAATAATCGCGAAAACGGTGCGTCGAAAAACGCGGCCAAGAAAAAACAAGCCTTTTTTTCTTTGAAAATTCCTACGCCCGAAAAGGCATAGGCGACAATAACGCCGGTGCACTAAAAATCCAAAAGCCGGTATACGGGGCGACGACTGTTCAGAATGAAAAAGTTAAATTAAATTTAAACCAAAACGGGGCATATGACAAGAATAATTAAACGTTTCACGGGGAGCTGCGATAATTACGAAGCGGTTTATATTTACTTTCACGGGTTGGCGATCGGAATTTGCGGAATGGAGATCGTTGGAAAACGCGAAGTAGCCGTATTTGGCTCGCGCCGATATTCATTTTGCCGGCATTTGCGAAGAAACGCTCGTAGTACTTTCAAAAATCGTCAAAACTTACCGTAAAATCCTGAGGTTAAAGTTAAAGCACTAATAAAACTCCAAATTCAGTTCGAGTTCAATTGAAAAGTTTTTTCCTCACGCACGTAATATGTAACACGAACGAAATGTCTGACGACAGCGTAAAGAATATGTTATTGTGATTAACAACACTTTCCTTAATTTTCACGATCAACTTTGTATACATGCTTAACTAAAAGAAGATTCCAGCTAGGAGACGTCAACGTCTTCGGTTTACAACGGCCCAATGCAGACTGCTTGTGAAAGACTGCCACGAACATGCCGGTAAGAGGTGCCGGTCAACTGTCAACGTGCGCGTGTGCGGCGATGCCGGCTATTCCCACCGACGACGTCTACGCTCAAATTTATTCAAACTTTCAACGAAATGAAACACGATTGCCCGGCAACAATGGTCGATATCGAAATTTGACAACGATACAACATTATACATGTTATTTTTTCAAAGTGTCGATTCGTACTATCAACGAAAAACCGACCGAAAGCCGGGGACTGCTTTACGAGGCGGAGTATATTCGGCGTTGGGCGGGTCTCTACGCGACGTTTCTAAAACTGGCGGCAAAGTTTAAGGCGGGAGGCTAAAGGAGGGGTTCGCGCTGGGGAAACGGAGATCGCAGATTAGCGAACTTTGAGTCGGATCCGACGTTAATTTTGGTTAAAATTTTGACTACGACCTGAAACTAGCGTAGGATGATCGACTTATAAAATATGCGCATATTGCTGCTTTTCTGTGGTCGATACTTCGAACACACAGAAGAAAAAGCGACTTCCCTTATGTTTGGGAATCTTATAGCGTAGGGAATCTTGATTTCTTTTGGAATCACTACTAAAAGCAGTGTTCATTCTACCCAATTTCTCAAAAACATTGGTATTTTAAAGGGTACATTTTTCTGCTGGTTGAAACCTGATGGTGGTGACTTGGCATCGCTAGCCTTCAAAGTCGACTTTTTACGTTTTTTTTTTTGAAAAACCTTAAGCCACGCACCAAAAAACGGATGTAATTACTTTACCCTTTATCTATTTCCGCTCAAGGTTTATTAGGCTCCGGCAAGCCTTCAAACGTTTGAATAATTATTGACATTTAATGTGACGGTTCATTAAAGAGAAAATTTATGAATGCTTACATTTTTGCTTCATACCCATTTATCAGTACGCAATAAAAAATAATGCCTTATAATGTATTAAAATGTGCATTTTACGCGGGACTAACATATAAACGAAAACGTATAAGTGAACGTTGCTTGTAATTTAAAGAAGTGGTCTAAATCAAACTGCCAATAAAGCTAACGGTATATTTTTCACGCAGTATTCAATGCGAATCACGAGATGGCAAAACGTTCATCTGACCCACATTGCAATTATTTGGTATATCTCATATATAATAAAAAGATAACATCGTTTATTTTCAAGACAACTCCTAATACTCAAATTTTTCGTTTATCAACCAGCGATAACCTATTTAAGAGTTTCAAAAATCACGCTTCTTAATATTTACGAGAAAATAGCACCGAATATCGTTTTCCTCTCACCCTCACCATCTACCCTAAACGATCGTAAAACTTTACCTGGACGATGGGATTTTCCTATCTATATTGAAGGTTTTATTTTCAATTAAGAATTTCGTCCTTACCCAGAAATTGCCACCCTTGATATCCGTCAAAGGGACCGTACCCCTGGGCGGGTAGGGTCGTAAATTTTATGACTGTGTGTTTAATAGAATCGAAGTACGAAATGCCTCGAAATTAAGTGACAAGGCCCAGCGAGCGAACAATTATGGCCTGAGTGCGGAAAAGAACAATGGTAATAACCAAGTAAGCAGAAGGCACAGGCGCTGTAACTTACTGTCTCACTTTGAAAGAGACCCGCCCTCGTCGCTATTGCAACTCGTAACTGTATTTAATTTTTCAATCAAATCAGTCTAGGGTTGTTGTTATTGCTTACTATTTCTTTTTTGGTACCCGGCCAATGTGATATTTTATTTCATAAGACCATGAAGCTTAGGCTGATTCTTTTTTTGACACATGAACACGTTACGAGCCGAACTCGTAAAGTACAAAATCGCGAATAAATAAGACGTCTTTCAGGCTTTAAGGCCACCGCGCGTTTAAAAATACTTATTCATAAAGCAGTCAAGTCAGATTTCGAAAATTAGGAAGCTTGGCTCGTTTTTTTTTTTCGAGGACTCGTTTGAACGTAGGAAGGCGATTAAACAAATGGTCATGTTAAAAGAACACCCGCTACTGCTACTAAACCAGAGACCGTGAGCTTTAATTGACAGTTCGGCGTGGAAAATTTGCGAAAATTGAGTTGCTTGCCCGAGGGCAATCGCAGTTCTTCAAAAGCCCTTTCCATTGTCGTAAAATGCGGCGCGTCCAAAAAAATTTTAATAACCGCTTAAGAAATTTCGATTAGCGGTTCAAAAATTTTTTAGTTCGTCATTGGGTTTAAATCAAAGAAGTTCGCATTCGCTATGTATTCACTAGACATGTTCTGATGTTTTGCATACTAGTCTAGCCTTGTGTTCTATACTATACTAATTTAGCCATATTACCTTTTATCCTATCATCTACAGCTTGTGCGGCAATAAGTCAAAAGTAACCAAAATCTTCCTCAGGTCCACCAACACTGCGAAAACTATTTGCTTACTGTTTAAAACTTTTTTCCATGGTGAGATCTGCAGGACAAGTATTTTTCTTATTATATTATCATTGTGTGTGATATGTGGACCAAATCGGATTTACAAATTTGGTATCTATGAGATATAACATCAGCGAAATAGAAGGAAGACTGTACACTTCCGGAAAAAGAAGTACAATCATGTTGCTCTCATAATTTTCAAAAAATGGAAATATTACTTAATTACAGAACAGAAAACACAATGTTATAGTATTTCCTATCTCCAAAGACGCTCGAATTCGATATCTCAAAAACAGATTGAGCTATAAAGAAATGAAAATTGCTCAACATAATTATTGTCATGAGTTTAATGTAGGATTGCTTTTCGGAGCATTTATTACTGACCACCCTGCATATGAAAATAATATTATGAATAAAAAATCATGTGAAAATTATAGCGTCGCAAATGAGAAAAAAGATCATATAGCAAGTCGTGGCAGCTACATTTAATTTTTAACTTAATTCTTGGTAAAAATCATATTAACATAACATATAATTTAGGACCGCTGCGCAGCAGGATATTGTGCTTCAACACTCTGATGAAGTATTGAAAAATTACTGCATTGTGAATATTGCTTTATGTACAGAAATATTATTTCTCACTGTGAAATAATCATTATAAAATACATTCATATATTAAAAAAACCACATACCTGGAGATTAAAAAATGTGTCACGGAAAACTTGAATAAATTATACCTATAAACTGACATGACAGTCTAAATTCACAGCTCTCTAGACGGTGATTCCTGAAGATAGACTGACCCCATTCGGACATGAAATTTAACGATATAGCGATTGTTCATTAATGCGCTAAAAAAAATATTTTAAAATACATGTAGTGCGCTATCCAAATGTCATGAATTTAGAATATTTGCCTTTTATAATTTGCTCACAGTTCCACGAGATTTCGACTATCTGATTAGGTGATACCAATTAACAATTCCGATTAATATGCACCAACTCTTTTGGCGATTTTAAGACAGAAAGTTCATACAAATGAAGTACCCTGTTAATCTGAATTTGAAGGCAATTCTCTCGATAGTTTTATCTCAGGCAATCAATTTCCAAGGACACAAAGAACTCCTACTATGTTTTGGTTAGTTTTGGGGCCTTCCATTGGATGTATAATAGGTAAGTGTAGGTATGCACATTCTTAGGACACAGAAAAAAAAGGATCGTTTTTATAATTATTTCTTATTTGAATATTTATTTATTTATTTAATTTTTTATTGTTCTAGGCTCCATACCATTTATTTTTCTTCAACCCGCAACTTTCTAAACTTTTAACAAGAAGTAATTACTTAATAGAAACAGGCATTGAGTAATATAAATATATAAGCCGCTGCAAATTTGGTCAAGCGTCAATTATATTGGAGACAAGAGTTTTTGCACGAGGACCGGAATACTTTGACATTATTCTATATAATAGCGAACAAGTTTGAAAGAAAAAACGAGTCATGAATATGCTGATCCGATTGAAATTTGATTTATACGAACTGGTTCACATACATCAATATACATAATAGAAACGGACCCGAGGACAGATCTAAAAATTTGTAATTTTAAATGAAAGAATGTAGAAATATCGTAACACTAGAATTGTAGTTGATATCGAGGGTCTGTCGTTCTTAATATTTGTTTATTCAGTGGCATTTAAAAGTCAATAAACTGTTTATTTATTTTTCCAACTCGGCAAAGCAGCGCTTCCTGACAAAGAAACGCAAAGGTAATCAAAACAATCCGTATTATGAATGAATGAACGGATCCTTTATCGACCGATGCTCGTAGTATTTAGTAACTAAGGTTATGTTTATAATTAATTCACTGACCCATTGGACATTTTGCACTCGAACTAAGCAAATACGTTTCAACTGCACCATTCGTAATGAATTTACATGCTGACCTGCAAGTTAATGTTGAAGTGGACACTTGCGAGCTGCGAGGTTTTTGATTCGACTCTGAAGTTTCTGCTGACTATGGCTCCCCCGCAGTTCATTTGTTGTAGTTTTTTAATATATTCGATTATATACTCGTTTTGGTTGCTTTTTGATTCGATTGATCAATTGTTTTAGCAATTTTTGAAGAAATAAAATGAATAATGGCATTTGATCTATAATTTTGCTAGCAACGATGTTTGATAAACTCCACGAGTTCAACGAACGTTTGAAGGAGTTAATCAAGGGGTTGTATACTATAACTTCTCTGCGATTATTAGCTTTTGGTTAGTTAGAGCGGCACAAATGCATTCACAGAGATACTTGTGACATGCTCGTAAGAATTGACAACGTCAAAATGCCATCCGAGGTTAAAATATACCGAAAATGGAAACAATTATACTAGAGACAAGAATTTTTGTACATGGACCGGAGTACTTTGAGATTATACAATAGCGAACAAGATTAAAAAAAGCTAGTCATCATTGCTGATCCGATTGATCCTAACACTTCAAATCCATGACTTAAGTACCGGAAAAGTTGTAAGTGGTTCGCGACCAACGAAACTGACATCTTAAAGTGAGACTTTCAGCACGCGTGATTAGTGTATAATTATGTATTTGACAGTAGTTGTTTCATTTATAAGGTATTGTTTATAATAATATGGCGTTTTATTTTTAGGTTCATTATACCACTGACAAAATTTTAACGTTTAAAACTCGTAAATCTTGTTAAAGGTGTTTTGTAATGTAATGTAATCTTATAGATTGAGCCTTACCTTTTGCCAGATTATTGTTATTATATACATCAATGTAGCTACATTATTGTGA